GTTAGGGACTATAAAGGAAGGAGTATATGTAATATATTTGGACCTCACTTTTCAAACCTTCTTCCCATATATTATGGAATTGTAAATCCCAGGGTAGTGTAATTTACAATTCCTCAAATTTGAGGATTTGCTATTTCTCTTAATTAAACTATGGCTATATTTGGCAAACTTAGCTAAAAAAAAGGTAGCTGAAAGCTGAAAAGAAGCTGAAAGTTGAAAAGTTAAGTTAGGAGCTGAAAAGTGAAAACTGATCGAAGAGCTATTAAGGTAGCTGTTATGCTTGAAAGTATTTGGAAAAATTAACTTTTTTGATAAGATGATAAATGTAAAAAGACAAAAAATGACGTATTCATAAAATTTAAATTAGTTTGTTTACATGACAAAAAATGACATCTTCTTAAAATTTAAATTAGTTTGTTCACATATTAAAATTTAACGTTTTGTCCTTTTCGTTTGAATGCTACTAGCTCTATTATAATGGAGTATTTGTTCATATACTTTCTCAACCAAACACAAAGAACCAATAACGTCTCCACTGAGGCTCAAACTCACAATCTTCGAAATGGAAGTCCAACCCGAGTACCATTAGACAACATAGTCTTGGTAACATTTTGTCTTTAAAAAATTAACATTTTAAAATAAAACTATTAGCATAATCATGATCTAACATCCCATAATGAAGTAGCAATATTGTTGCGAATCTCCTTCCTCTAATAATAATAATAATAATAATAATAATAATAATAATAATAATAATAATAATAATAATAACAATAACAATAACAATAACAATAACAATAACAACAACAATAACAACAACAACAACAACAACAACAACAACAACAACAACAACAACAACAACAACAATAATAATAATAATAATAATAATAATAATAATAATAATAATAATAATAATAAGAGTTAATACCCAAAATGGTCCTCGACTATAGTGGTTTTTCTCAATTTTGTCCTAAACGACTTTGGTGACTTAATATAGTCCCAGAGTTCTGTGTTTTTACTCAATTTAGTCCCAAACTTTTGTGTTTTCGCTCAATTTAGTCCCCTATTTGTTATTCCGTCCATTTGTTGTTAAATAAATAGACAATTCAGTAATTTTAATATTGACATCTCTTTACTCATAGACATGTGAAGTGCGAAATCCATCTTTTTTTACGAATTACTCCCAAAATCACTCTTAAACCTGCGAATATAAAATTTGATTCGTAGGTCTGGGTGTAATTCGTGCAAGAAAGAAGAATTTCTCACTTCGCATGTTGAAAGTAAAGAGAGGTCAATATTGATATTATTGAATTGTCCCTTTATTTAACACCAATTTGACGGAATAACAAACGGAGGACTAAATTGAGCGAAACACAAAAGTCTGGGACAATATTAGGTCACCAAAGTCATTTGGGACGAAATTGAGAAAAACCACTATAATCGAGGACAATTTTGGGTATTAACTTATAATAATAATAATAACTGCGGTGAAAGTTACGGATAAAGGAGAAGTGAAAATGATTTTAATTGGGAAGGGTAAAGGATGTCATTTCTTTAAAATAATAAGGATAAAGATGGAAAAAAAAATTAGAAAGCTACTAGCTTATTTTGAAACGCTACCTTAGGTAGCGTTCCAAAATAAACTCTTATTTTAAGCTATGACCATATTTTGGAAACATTACCAAACACCTTACAAGCCATTTGGTTGGAGGGATTTTAAATTCCCTTCCCACTTAATTCCCACCTAATTCCAAAGGCCATTAAATTCCATAGTTTGGTTGGAGGGAATTGCAATTCCCCCATTTTCATGGAATTAAAATCTCATGTCCCCCCCTGAGATTTTAATTCTTGGGAAAAAAAGATAGTGATGAGCCAAAATTACCCCTTCCTTTTTTAATCTAAAATTAATGTCTAACAACAATAATGGACATTTTTGACTTTATACTACTTATTCCCTTTCAATTCCCATGTATACCAAACATTGGAATTGAAATTAGAATTGAAATTCCCAGTAATTCTATTCCTGTCAATCAAACACTGGAATTTAAATTCCCACTTTATTCCCAGTAATTCAACTCCCATGGAATTACAAAGGCTTCTCTTCTCTTGCCCATCCGATGTGGGATGGGCAAGAGAAACTAATTGCCGTTGAGCTCCCTTTTATAAGGGAGCTCAACGCCATTTATTTTCTAAAACTTTCGATGTGGGATTTTTATCCCACATCATTTTTGTTATTATTATTATTATTATTTCAAAAATTATTATTATTATTATTATTATTATTATTATTATTATTATTATTATTATTATTATTATTATTATTATTATTATACTCTTTTGGTCATTTTACATGTTAACCGATAATCTAAACAGCTAATTTTACCTAACATCTTTTTACAAACCGCTGATACAATCTGCTGGTCAAACCCGCTAATATAATTCGCTATTTGCTAACCGCTAATACAATCCGCAAACGCTAACCACTAACCGCTAATTGCCAAACAAGACCATTATCCGCTAACGCTAACCACTAATTACTGATTGTCAAACAAGGACATTGCGAGGTAATTCTCACTTCAATTTGTTGTGTGATTTGAATACTCTCTTTGTCAACAAATCTCTCAAGTAGTTAATATGATTGTCTTTATTAATTATAATTTTTTAATATTTTTCATGGTATTAATAAAATACTTGGTAAATAAATATATAACATTATTTTGTATTTTAACTTTGATATTTAATTAAAAAATAGTGCACAAAAAAGATAATAGACAATGTAGTGAATATAATCAATTGATGAATTTGAATGTAAATAATTTTTACATTGGAAAAATATAAAGACAATATAACTAATAAAATTATTTCTCTTAATTAATTTATTGATAATGATTTTTTTTTTTTAATAAAGACATTGTAGGGACAATGTAGCGAATATAATTAATTGATGAATTTGAATGTAAAGAATTTTGATATTTGAGAAAAATAAAGATAATATAACTAATGCAATTATATCTCTTATTTAATTTATTAATAATGAATATTTTTTTTTAATAAAGGCATTGTAGACACATAATTCTAAATTAAAGAAATGCATATGTATTATTTTTTTTTTGTAGCTACTAAATTATTATTTTTTAATTTAATAAGAGAAACATAGAGTACTAATTATGCCAACTTTGATTGGGATGATGTTCGAACCTAGACATTTCTTATTGAAATCAATGAGTAAGTTAACGGTGAACTAACAGAAGTTAACGAAAAAGATAATATTTAACGGAAAAGTTAACGGATAATCATATTCATTAAGGATAAATTAGGAAATCTTAAGGAAAAATTAAAATCTAATCAATCTGAGCCATTCATTTGATTAAAAAATTGAGTTAATACCCAAAATCGTCCTCGACTATAGTGGTTTTTCTCAATTTCGTCCTAAACGACTTTGGTGACCTAATATCGTCCCAGACTTTTGTGTTTCGCTCAATTTAGTCACAGACTTTTGTGTTTTTGCTCAATTTAGTCCCTCATTTGTTATTATGTATATTTGGTGTTAAATAAATAGACAATTCAGTAATTTTAATATTGGCATCTCTTTACTCATAGACATGTAAACTGCGAAATCCTTTTTTTTTTTTACGAATTACTCCTAAAACTGCGAATATAAAATTTGATTTGCAGGTCCGGGAGTAATTCTGGGTGTATTTCGTACAAGAAAGAAGAATTTCGTACTTCACAAGTTGAAAGTAAAGAGAGATCAATATTGACATTACTGAATTGTCCCTTTATTTAACACCATTTGACGGAATAACAAATGGACTAAATTGAGCAAAACACAAAAGTCTGGGACGATATTAGGTCACCAAAGTCGTTTAGGACGAAATTGAGAAAAACCACTATAGTCGAGGACGATTTTGGGTATTAACTCTTAAAAAATTTGACCGCCATTTTTTCTACCCATTATAGGCCTAACTCTCTTGGGCTCTTATTAGTATATATATATATATATATATATATATATATATATATAGACATCTTAAAAATAATACAAGATTGATACTTCTTCATAATTTCTTATGAAGTTTATACAAATTGTATCAATTAAGCAATATTTTGAAAAATCAAACTCCCTTATAAGATAAGTGAATAACAAAAGAGACTTCCGGAAATAAACAAAAGGTACCAAACTTGAAAATCCTAGGGAATAAATATGGTATACCGAATAGAGTTATACCAAAAAACCACGGAAAGAAGTTGGCAACAAACCCAAAAAGCCTTAAAACTTCACCAGCATGTCCAAAGAAGGGCAAAACAACAATCTGTAAAATTTCACCGGAAAAATACATCATATGCATAGAAGGAATGGAGGAGAGCCGATGAACAGAACTGGAGAGTTTCGCCGGAAAAAGCCGTCGGAGACAGCCTCACGCGACGGCGCGTGCGATCGGAGTTCGACAATGGCAGGGGCACGTGGAGGCGCGTGGCAAAGGAGATGGCGATGCCGCTTGCTGGGTCAGGCTCGCCAGAGAGTGTAGAAGGGATGGGTGACACCAATTTGACAAAAGAACTCACCAAAAGCAAGTAATTTGAAAAATTAGGGTTTGCGTGAACAGTAACTTTACTGCTCATGCGATGAAAAACAATTTTGATCTTTGGAATTCCCTAGGAAAGTAGACTCTGATACCATGTTGAATTTGGAAGATGGAATGGCCTGGCAGGTGGAGAATAACACCACCCGCTAGGCAGGACCAGTATGAAGAATAAAAAATTAGAGAATGCATATAAAACTAAGATGTTATAATATATTCTATATTCTCTGTTTCTAATACAGAAATACAGTACATATATATACACAAAGACATAACGGTAAATAACTATCCATAACTTACACCTATTCATAAACAGACACAACCCTATAGATAAACCTATTTATTTAGTTTTCAACAGGGTAAACCTCATATTGTGATCCTACCGACCCAAACCAAGAAGGTCAATAGGCCGCTTACGAAAGTCAAACTTGTAACTTTGTGGTTGTCAAGTCAATATCCAGATCAACTTGGCTGGGGTTACCCGAGAAAGGTGAAGTTTGATTTGCCTAAACTCCTAAAGAGTGCCCCTACCTAATTGCTAATTGTGTGTGTCACAAAAACCAACACATCCAAATACAACATCCCATATGCTACTGCTTCTCCCTTCATTCTGCTGCTCCAATATGCTACTGCTACTCCCTTCTTCATTCTGCTGCTCTCTACTCTCACCATCTCTACATTCAGCCTCGAATTTCATCACCACCTTTGGGTTGATAGGAATGAAGTATACCCCACCATCATCATCTTCTTCATATGCTACATATGTTTGAAGAAGGCTATTGAGTTCCCTTGTTTTCACAGGCGATGAATAAAACTCTATAAGCTCCTCTACTTCTCTGAATTTATTGGGTTCTGTCAAAAGATCATATACTCTGCACTCCAAAGACACATCATTATGTGGAGCTATCAGCTCTGTCCTTCCATTCATTTCGTGTTGTGAATCAATACGACCGTAAACATTCACACCAACAAATATCCCTTTTTTCTTCAAAAACAATGGCAAACTGTAATTTGATGAACATCCAACTCCAACTACTTCGTTGCTGCACAAGTCTTTTGAAACCATGTCATTTGAAACCCACATTCTAAACTGTTGATGGTTTGGGTTTTGAAGAAGTGCCTGCATATATAAATATATGCATGACAAGCAGCATTACGACATACATGCTATGAAAAAGTATTATTTGAGGCAGTTCCAGAGAGAGAGAGATGACTAACCTTGAACAACTTCACACACCAAGATTTACTGCTCAGAGTGCTGCAACCATTTATGTCAATGCGCTCTAAATTAACCAGACTCTCCACACCTCGAAGCTCAATCAAATTACTGCACTCATAAAGATACAATTCATGTAGTTCTAATAAGCCAGATAGATCCTGTACATTTTCCAGCAATGGACAATAACGTGTGGACAGTTTCACTAGGCTAAGTGGAAGATCTTGTACAATTTCCAGCAAGGGACAACGATTTGCTTGTAGGCATTTAAGCCGAGGTGGAAGATCTTTAATCACTCGAAGGTTCTGACAGTTGTTCAAAAGGAGAACTTCTAGCTGGGAAAGATGACAAAGGTTTAAGGGCAAGGACTGGAAACAACTATAGCTTAGATCTAAATATTTCAATAACCCATGACCAGTTTGAAGATCTAAATTTGCCAATAAGGATAAATGTTGCAGAGACTGGTAAGGAGCCCTTAGATATTCCAAGGAACATAAATTAGCATCTGAAGATGATGTCAAATCCTCCATAGGTTTCACACTCCTATACCCTTCCATCAACGGCGGTAGTAGCAGAGTTTTGAGATATCTCAAAGATCTACAAGACAAAGGTAGATGTGACACGGAAGTCTGCATAGCATTAAGCATACGTAATTGCTCCAATTTTCCCAAGTTAGCAGGCAATTCTTTTATGTTGGAGCACCTATGCAGATGAAGATCCTCAAGACGTTTCAACTCACAAATGCTATTAGGAAGCGTCATGAGATTCATGCAAGCACCCAAATCTAGCTGGACAAGATTCTCCAAATCTCTAATTGATTGTGGCAATTCAACCAAATTTAAACAACCATAGAGGGACAATGTCTTTAGATTACGTGCTCCAGTAAAGTTTGGGGCTCTTTTAAGCTTCTTGCAACCAACAAGCTCTAAGACCTCCAAGCATCCAAAATCCTGTTGAAATCAAAAATATAAAAAGCAGATGTCAGCTTTTCCTTTATCTTTTAGTTTAATTAAATTGTGATGCTTTTTATTAAAAAGATGTAATGTCAAACCTGCAAATTAGGTTGAAATTTCTCAATATTGCCTCCTTTTATTTTTAAAATGACAAGTTTTGTCAAGCAAAGATCAAATGATATGCATCTCAAAGGGCAATTTTCCCAATAAAGCAATCTGAGATCTTTAGACAAGTATTTTAAAGATCCCCTAACATTCATGGATAAGATTTTGAGTAACCTTAATCTGGTCATTTTAGAGAACACCTCAGCATCCAAAATCACATTCTCTGGCAAATCTATGATCATCGTTTCAATTGCTTCAGTACCCTGACATATAAAAAAATATCATAGCATTAAGATATTACACAAATCAGTAATATGTCCATCTTTGAAAATATAAATAATTGAAAACTATAAATATGTAATTATATAAGCAAGTAGGAACAAGCATTTACCTTGTTGTCCTTGAGAACATCACATACATCATCAGTGAAAATCAATCTGCTTTTCTTTCCAGGCTGTGTAGGTGATTCCTTGCGAACAATTTCTCTTCCCATATCCCGGACTAAGGCATGCATAGAAAGATCCTCTGCTAACAAGCATTTATCAATTAAAATTCTAATTCCACTTTCAGCACAGAAACCACTACCATTCAACAGCGCAACAGCGGTTTCTTTAGAGAATCCAACTATTAAAAAGCATGCAATATCTAAGAAGATGTTTTGAGTATCATCGTCGAGTGCGTCATAACTAATTTTGAGAATCTTCAAAATATCATCATGAGGAATCCTTGATAATTTCTTAAAGTCATCTTGCCATTCTTGAATTGACTTTCTTCCACGAAAATGTGAACCTAGAACTGTAAGTGCCAAAGGAAGTCCCAAAGAATAACTTACTATCATATCTGTCAGTTCTGCATATGCCGCCAACGGGACTGGATTCCCAAATGCATGCAAACTAAAGACTTGCAAAGATTCCCAGGTACTTAACCTTTTAACTTCATACATTTCTTCTATTCCAAGGCAATTTAGCAAGTGAACATCTCTAGTTGTAATTATAATTACGCTGCCTGGACCAAACCAATTTGGCTCTCTGACTAATGCTTCCAATTGACTCAAATGGTTTACATCATCAACAACTACTAGAAGCTTTTTAAATCCAAGTCTTTGTTTGACCAAACTAATTCCCCTATGAACATTGTCAACTTCAAATTTCTTTGTGCTGAGAGTTTCACGAAGAAGTTTCTCTTGTAAGCGGTCTAAACCTTTTGATCTAACATCAGCAAGAAAGCTACAACCTTGGAACATTCTATAAATTTTGTTAAATAGAGCTTTTGCAAGGGTTGTTTTGCCTACACCACCCATGCCATAAATCCCAATGATACGAACATCATCCTTTCCTCCACTTTGTAATAAAGCATGTATTTCGGCCACACGAGCATCAATTCCAACTGGGTGTCTAGCAACATCCAAGTATGTATGGTTCAATTCTTGTTGGACCACCTCCACAACTTCATTGATATAATCTGATTCAGACCTAACCAACATTTTCAATCTCTTATAAGATGGAGCATTTATAGCCTAAAATTGAATTAAGCCATCAAAGTATTGAATTAAAGTATCAATTTTACAAAACTGTTAGATACATATACATATACATATTTGGTGTTGCTGAGAAAATCTAAAAGAGAAGAAGAAGAAGAAGACAGAGGCATACCGGTCTCCAACTTCTTTCAAATGCCAACCAATAAAACCTGCAATCTTAGTGAGTGCAGCTTTCCACGCACCAACTCTATCTGCACCAAATCGTTCTCTGTGTTGAGTGAATGCATAGCCAAAATCGCCTGTTTGTTTGCGTACCTGGGAAGGATCAACATGGTAGAATATGGGAAGAACCACCAGCTGGTTCAACATCTCCTTGCATTCCAAGATCTTCACGAGCTCGTCTAGACACCAACTGGAGGAGGCATAAGTTTTCGAGATTACGAGAATGGAAATCTTGGACCCCTCAATCGCCTCCAAGAGCTCAGTGGGGAAGTAGTGTTGGAGGAAGCAAATGAAGAAGCATGCAATGGTTCTGTTGTTCAAGCAGAGATTAGCTAAGGGCCTTATAGTCTTTCATTTCTTCTTTAATTCCGGTGTAACCTCTTGTAACTGCTTTTCCCGCTTCTTCCCTTTTCCGTATACTAGTAATTGTCCCGTGCGATGCACGAGCTATTATTAATTTAACAAATTTATCAATTAATTTTTTGACATCATCTGAATTAGCAAAGAAATGGTTTTGGAAACAGAAAAACGTACTTGAGTTTTTTATCTCAAAATTAGTTTGATTAAAAATGTAAGCAATTGATTTAACAAATTTATCAATAGTCAAATTAATTATAATTGAGGTTTAAATGAATATGCCCTGTGCGATGCACGAACAAAAATTTATAAGTATCGTTGTAACGTTATGATACAAAGCTGAATTAGTTTCATTAAAAAATGTAAGTATAGCTATACAATGTAATATTTAAATGTTAAGATAATAAATGCATTCATATTGCTAATCTGATTTGCAATAATGACCTTACAAAGTTAAACGGACAAAGAAAGACCCGGACCACCTCGCGATTTACAAAAAAAAAATAATGATCTTACAAATCTATTAATATGCATTCACACTTAGGGGGGGGGGGGGGAATTTTTTTACACTAAATAATATAACATAATAAAAATAAAAGTTTTAATATAACACATGTTGGGCCAATATATAATTACATTTTTTTTTAATTTTTGGGCCAAATCTATCCATTGCTGCAGCCCATTTTTCCAATGTCCATTCATAGTTTTGGAGGGAAACAAAGATTCTGCTTTATATATATAAAGATTAGCTGCTCTTCTCCCTTTGTAACAGAATTAACAGTTCATAATACAAGCTACCACCTTCTTTCTTCTCTCTCCATCCAAGCAAGATCGCATGTGATTGTGTTCCAACAAGTAGCCCCCTTTGCGGAGCTCTTCATCATCCTTGAATGTGTAAACACTGAACCTGTCCAGAGCAGCATAAAGATGATCTGTAAAGCCTCTTCGCGTGTCATCTCCTCTAAAATTCAGAAAAACATCGTATATCCAGTGAGTATTGTTGGAAATTGGTGAATAAATCGATACACAAAATATATATTTGTCCCAAAAAAATGGAATTTAATTTATAGAAAATTAATTCCAACCAATTTTGGTACGAAACCAAAATTACATATATATACAATATATATATTAACAAATAGGGATTTATTTTATCAAAATAATCCCACCACAACTAAGTACGAAACTAGTACACGGGACTTAATTTCCACGAAATTATTCCCACCACAACTAGTACGAAACTAGTACAAGGATTTAATCTATCCGAGATTAATCCTACCACTTGGTCCGAAACCAAGAACAAAAAATAAACAGGATACGGGTTTCTAACCTGAGGTTTTAACCCAACGCGAAGAAACAAGAAGAAGCAGAGGAAGCCCGAGTCGTGCGTACACACACTCTCCTTAAAACCGATTCGCCGCCTCCTGAGGGTGCTAGGATCGTTGTGGCGTCAGTCTCCCAGGATAAAACGGACTACGACTTTGGCGTTCGAGCACTCCAACCCAAAGCCCGGCGAACTAGAACACAAGTTGAGCACTCCGATGTTTTACAGAAGATGATGGCATAATTTCTTTTTTCCCTTTGTAATCGAGTAGGAGAGTTTGAGAGAAAATAAACAAAAATTTTGAGAGTTTCAAAATGGAGTAAAAATTATTCTGCCAACATCCACAACTATTTGTAAGGGAAAAGGAATTAAAACATTATAATGGCCATTAATCCAATCATAAATCCAAGATTTAATAATTGGATAATAACGTTTGAAACAGTCGTAATTATTATCGTAATAATTCCAACGGTCACGAACTTAATACGCGATTAATTCGTACCGACGATAATGACCAGTTTCAAAATATCTGAGTGACCGAGAAGTCCGTACAAACCTGAAGGTTTAACGAATTGGGATTGGAAACCACACCCGAGTGGTCCACACGCACCGAAACGGCGCAGCACAAATCAATGCATATAGCATTGACTCGTACTCAGCACGAAAGTAGCTCACGAAAGTAGCTCACAACTCCAACTTTCAGCATGAAACTAAAGCTTATAATTAAGCTTTCAATTTTGCATGCACTTTCGTCCAGCATGAAAGCATAGCACGAAAGGTGCTAAAACAAAGTTTCGTGCTTTACAGAAACCAAAGCTCCAAATTGAGCTTTTAATTCTTAAAGCACGAGACTTCAAATCCCAATCTTCCCTAATTAAGCTTAATAAAGCTTAATCATCTTTTAAGCTTAATTAGCTTACAAATTAAGCTACATCATCATGCCTATATTGACACGAACCAACAACATAAGCTTAAAGATTTGACTCCTCTCAAATAGGTTCACTTGAGAATCAATTTCTCATTCACCTATTATCCATTTTGAGCGTACATTATATCAAATTCTTCGTCTCACTACGAAGAACCCGAATCCACTTTGACCCGACCCAAATCAGAAGTGGACCCCACATATATTTGTACCACAAAATAATCACTCAAAATGCCATTTTTAGCTAAAAATTCCAACAATCCCCCACATGAATGAAAATTGATTTTCGGGACGAGGAAAAATCGACACGAACGTGCTCAACGGTCGATCCCTGCATAGCATAGGTAGGTGTTACCCTTTGAACCTTGCCTTGTGAAAATATGTTTACTCTACTGGCTGTATGGTAGAACTTGATGTCTTTGAACCAACTGCCGTTTGTGTAGACGATGACATATCCCACACAGGAACCTTCCAACCTTTGTTCTGTTCTCATGGGTGTGCCCGTTTTGGTCATGGGTCACTTTCCTGGTTCTGCGAGAGTTTCTAAAGAATTGAGCCCATCAATTATCCTTTGAAGCGACCCCACTTCTCTCTAACATAGGTGATTCTTTATCGAGTATCCCGCATACTCACACATGTCAACCGACATTCGAATCATTAAAGCATCAACATGCTAGCCTCATGCGGGAGTCACTGTTCTAACGAAGAATGGTAGGGAGTCCGAGACCCCCACAGTGACACGCTTCGTTCCATAATTTAGTTGTCCCATTGAACCTAGGTGCCAGCTAGGTTGGGTGTCCACTATAGAAATTTTATTCCATGGGCTTCAAACCCATTCCTCGTGCCAACTTCTCAACAACATCTTTGTTCAACCCTTTGGTTAGCGGATCCGCTATATTGTCCTTTGACTTCACATAGTCAACCGAGACAACACCCGTTATGAGTAGTTGTTTAATGGTATTATGTCTTCGACGTATATGTCTAGACTTACCATTATACATATGACTTTGTACTCTCCTAATTGTTGCTTAATTATCACAATGCACACTAATTGGAGGTACAGGTCTATCCCAACAAGGAATATCCTCCACAAAATGGCGTAGCCATTCAGCCTCTTCACAACATTTGTCTAAGGCTATCAGCTCAGATTCCATCGTGGATATAGCTATCAAGGTTTGTTTCGAGGATTTCCAAGAAACGGCTGCACCGGCTAACGTAAACACGTAGCCACTCGTGGACTTAGAGTCCTTCATATCCGATATCCAGTTAGCGTTGCTATACCCTTCAAGTACAGCAGGATATCGTGTATAGTGCAGTCCCTAGTCACGAGTATACCTCAAGTATCTCATAACTCTCACTATTGCCTTCCAGTGCGTATCACTGGGGTTACTCGTATATCTACTGAGTTTGCTAACCGCAAAGGCAATATCAGGTCTGGTACAGCTCATTAGATACATCAAACTTCCAATAATCCTAGCGTATTCTACTTGAGAGATACACTTTCCACGATTTTTGGACAGATGAACGCTAGTATCTAATGGAGTCCTAGCCACTTGATAATCGTCCTTGTTAAACTTTGCAAGGATTTTATCGACATAATGAGATTGGCTTAACACGAGACCATCAGGTCTTCTCACGATTCTAATCCCAAGGATTAAATATGCCAAACCCATATCCTTCATGTCAAATCTCGAATTTAACATGCCCTTGGTAGATTTGATCATTCGATCGTTACTACCCACAATGAGTATATCATCCACATATAAACAAAGAATGACATAACCGTCTATCGTTTCCTTAACGTAGACACACTTGTCACTTTCGTTTATATTAAACCCATTGGTTAACATCGCATGGTCAAACTTCTCGTGCCACTGCTTAGGCGCTTGTTTTAAACCATATAACGATTTAACCAATTTACATACTTTCTTTTCTTGGCCCGGAACCGCAAAACCCTCAGGTTGTTCCATATAGATTTCTTCATCTAACTCGCCATTCAAGAAAGCTGTTTTCACATCCATTTGATGAACTTCCAAATTCCGCAGTGCGGCTATGGCAAGTATCATCCTTATGGAATTTATTCTCGTTACGGGAGAATACGTGTCGAAGTAATCAAGGCCCTCGCGTTGCCTGTAACCCTTAATTACAAGCCTAGCCTTATACTTCTCAATGGAACCATCAGGTTTCAACTTCCGTCTAAAGACCCACTTGGATCCCAAGGGCTTACTACCTGGAGGAAGATCAACCAGTTCCCAAGTGTGATTCTGTAGGATAGAATCCACTTCACTCTTTATAGCATCTTTCCACATTGGTCCTTCCGTAGAAGTCACAACTTCTACATACGTTTGAGGCTCGTTTTCTAACAAACATGTCAGAAAATCCGGTTCATTTTCTAGTAAACAAGTTAGAATATGTGTATCACATTCTAACATGTACGTCAGAAAATCTGGACCAAAGGATTTTTCAATCCTAACTCGCTTGCTACGTCTAGCTTCGAGCTCGGGTTCTATTTTAGACCCTCCACTGCCGTTATCCACAGCTTCGTCGAATGTTCGTTTCGACGTACTAGGTCCCTCACTGGACCTACACGGAAATACATCTTCGAAGAACGATGCATTCCTTGATTCAATTATCGTGTTCTTATGTACGTCCGGATTATGGGACTCGTGTACTAAGAACCGATATGCACTACTGTTATGTGCATAGCCAATAAAGATACAGTCCACCGTCTTAGGACCTATCTTTATTTTCTTAGGTGTTGGCACCAAAACTTTGGCAAGACACCCCCACACTTTCAGGTACTGGTAAGAAGGTTTCCTACCGTTCCACAGCTCATAAGGAGTCTTATCGAGCTTCTTGCGGGGAACCTTATTTAAAAGGTAGTTACTTGTCAAAATCGCCTCACCCCACATACTTTGAGGTAGGCCCGAACTTATCAACATCGCATTCATCATCTCTTTCAATGTGCGATTTTTCCGTTGGGCAACACCGTTCGATTGAGGTGCGTAAGGTGCCGTACGCTCGTGTATGATACCGACACTTGGACAGAAGTCACCAATAGGTGCTTTGTACTCACCACCTCGATCGCTTCTAACCTTCTTAATCCTCCGATTAAGTTGGTTTTCCACTTCATTCTTATAAAGAATGAATTTATCGACGGCCTCATCTTTGCTCTTAAGCAAAAACACATAGCAGTATCATGTGCTATCGTCGATAAACGTGATAAAATATTTATTACCACCGCGCGATTGTATTGATCTAAAATCACATACATCGCTATGAACCAACTCAAGTGGTTCCGTTTTCCTTTCAATCGATTTAAAAGGAATTTTCGTTTGTTTTGCCTCAACACAAATCTCACATTTGTGCTTATCAACTTGAAATGCAGGAATATGGTCCAAGTTAATTAATCTACGTATAGAATTAAAATTAACATGACCCAGTCTACCGTGCCACAAACACGAAGACTCAAGTAATTAGGCTGAATTAATAATACTCTTATTAATCGCAGTTATTGCATCGAGCTTAAAAAGCCCATCTAGCACATAACCCTTGCCTACGTACGTTTTTGATTTCGACAAAACAACTTTATCTGACTCAAACACTAACCGGAAGCCATTCTTGTTCAACAATGAACCAGAAACTAAGTTCTTCCGTAGCTCCGGTACGTACAAGACGTTGTTCAGAGTCAGCTCTTTCCCAGAGGTCATTCTGAGAACTACTTTGCCCATACCTACCACAGTAGACTGAG